AGTAGCCAGCCTCAACACCACCTTCTACAGGGTGTGACTGGCCAAGTTGCTAAATACAGACAGAAGTACCCTAGCCAGCCAGGCACCTCCCTCCCAACCTGCCAGCCCAGGCCACCTCTAGCCTCATCTCACCACTGGACCTCTGTTCTGGCTGTGCATGATGCCTATTGACAGGGTGACCTGGGTTCCTGTGGTTCACTTGCTGCCTTGGGTGCCTTTTGCTCTCTGGGAACCAGAGGACTAGCTGATTTTATCTAAGGAGTACTGCTCTCTACCCTCCCATTATCCCTTTGCAGGTATGGGTGGTCCATTACCCACTGGGTTTGAGGACTGCCTTTCCCTTCTCTATAGCACCTGCGTGTTAACTACTCAGGGGTCCTGGCCCAACCTCCCACCACTCTAGCCTTTGTCAGCAGATGGAATCACAAATATCCCATCATCAAGTCTTGCCTACCCCTCCTCTGAGAGAGACCCACCTATCACATACGTGGCTGTTCACCAGGTAATGAGGATACAGCTGATTCCCACTGATGTTCTCTGGTTCCCCCATAAGTGCCAGGCACCAGGAACTTTATGAGACCAGAAGAGATGGGGTCCATAAAAAAAGATTTCAGAGGAGGTATAATTCAATTTTTGTACAAAAAAAACAACTGATTGTTACGGTATTTATTGTAAACAGGGCAAACTACACTCAAATATTATATTGAAGTCATGTTTATACTATGGCATGGAAGTGTGGTTTTTCTCTTTCATTTCTATTTTTTATTATTAATTAATTTATTTTTGTTACAGATGTTTCTCCTTTATCCCCCACTGATTCCCCTCTCCCCTTCCCTCCCTGCCCTGTCCCCAGCTTTGTTGTCCATGTCCACTGTTTATGTACACATGCATATAAGTTCTGTGGTTTCTCTCTCCCCCACCACACCCTCTTCTTGGGATTGTCAGTCTCTACCCCACGTCCATGTCTCTGGGACTACCCCATTCCTCACACTGTTATGTTTATTATATAACACAATTAAGTGAGGTCATATTGTCTTTCTCTGTTTGGCTTGTTTCACTTAGGATATTTTCCAGGTTCCTCCTTATCTCAAAAGATAAGAGATCTTTTTTTTCTTACAGCTGCATTGCACTCCATTGTGTATATGTACCACAGTTTTTTCATCCATTCATCAACAGATGGACATTTTGGCTGTTTCCAGATTAGCTATTGTACATAGTGCTAATACCAACATGGGGGTACATATATACTTTCTGGTTGGTGTTTCAGGCTTCTTAGGGTATATTCCTAGAAGTGGAAACAGAGGTTCAAATGGTAGTTCAATTTTTAAGTTCTTGAGGTAACACTGTACTGTTTTCCATAGTGGCTGAACCAGTCTGCATTCTCACCAGCAGTGTACTAGAGTCGCATTTTCTCCACACTCTCACCAACACTTCTTGTTTGATGATTTGTTGATGGAGGCCATTCTGACAGGTGTGAGGTGATACCTCATTGTTGTTTTAATTTGTATCTCTCTGATGATTAGTGATGTTGAGCATTTCTTCATATGTCTCTTAGCCATTTGTATGTCCTGTTTGAAGAGGTGTCTATTTAGATCCTCTGCCCATTTTTTAATTAAGTTCTTTGTTTTCCTTTTGTTGAGCTGTATGAGTACTCTATATATATTTGAAATTACCCCTTTATCTGATATATCATTGGCAATTTTGCTCTCTCAAACAGTAGGTTGTCTTTCCGTTTTGATGATTGTATCTTTTGCTGTGCAGAAGCTTTTGAGTTTGATGTAGTTCCATGAGTTCATTTTTTCCTTTGTTTCTGTTGCCTTAGGTGATGTATCAGTGAACATTCTGCTGTGTATGATGTCCAAAATTTTGTTGCCTACATTTTATTCTAGGATTTTTATGGATTCATGAATCACATTTAAGTCTTTTATCCATTTTGAGTTTATTTTTGTGTATGGTGTAAGTTGATGGTCTAGTTTCATTTTTTTGAATGTAGCTGTCCAATTTTCTCAACACCATTTATTAAAGAGCCTTTCTTTACTCCACTGTATGCTCTTGCCAACTTTGTCAAATATTAATTGAGCATATTGCTTTGGGTCCATTTCTGGGTTCTCTGTTCTGTTCCACTGGTCTATATGCCTGCTCTTGTGCCAGTACCAAGCTGTTTTGATTACAGTGGCTTTGTAGTACAACCTGAAATCTTGTAATGTGATCACTCCCACTTTGTTCTTCTTTTTCAAGATTGCTGTGGCTATTTGTGGTCTTTTTTGGTTCCATATGAACTTTTGAAATATTTTTTTTAGTTCTGTGAAGTATGTCAGTATATTGATAGGGATTGCATTGAATCTATAGATTGCTTTGGGTAGTATGGACATTTTAATGATGTTAATTCTTTCAATCCATGAACAGGGTATACGCTTTCACTTTTATATCTTCTGCTATTTCTTTTTTCAATGACCTGTAGTTTTCTCCAAATAGGTCCTTTATTTCTTTGGTTAAGTTTATTCCTAGGTATCTTAATTTTTTTGCCACAATGGTAAATGGGATTGTTTTCTTAGTTTCCCTTTCTGTGAGTTCATCATTGGTATGTAAGAATGCTATCAATTTCTTGATATTAATTTTGTATCCTGCTACTTTGCCAAAGTTATTTATTAAGTATAGTAAATTTTTGTTGGAATCTTTGGGGTTTTCTACTTATAGTATCATGTCATCTGCGAATAATGACAGTTTTACTTCCTCCTTTCCATTTTGGATCCCTTTTATTTTTTCTTCATATCTGATTGCTGTTGCTAAGACTTCCAGAACTATGTTAAATAAGAGTGGTCAAAGTGGGCATCCTTGTCTTGTTTCTGTTTTTAAGAGAATTCCTTTTAATTTTTGCCCATTGAATATGATGTTGGCTCTAGGTCTTCCATATATGGCCTTTATTATGTTGAGATATGGTCCTTCTATACCCAGATTGTGAGTGTTTTTATCAAAAATCAGTGCTGAATTTTGTTGAATGCTTTTTCAGCCTCTATTGATATGATCATATGCTTTTTATCTTTCATTTTGTTTATGTGGTGTATCACATTCATTGATTTCCGAATATTGTACCAACCTTGCATTTCTAGGATGAATCTCACTTGGTAATGGTGAATAATTTTTTTGATCTATTGTGATTCAATTTGCTAGTATTTTGTTCAGGATTTTGCCATCTGTGTTCATCAGGGATATTGGCCTGTAGTTTTTTTTTCTTTGTGGTGTCTTTTTCTAGTTTTGGAATTAAAATTATGCTGGCCTCATAAAACAAGTTTGGAAGTCTTCCTTCTTCTTGAATTTTTTATAATAGTTTGAGGAGAATGGGTATTAGTTCTTCTTTGAATGTTCGGTAAAATTCCTCTGTGAAGCTATCCAGGCCTGGGCTTTTCTTTGCTGGGAGGGTCTTGATTACATCTTCAATTTCTATTGTTGTTATTTGTCTGTTCACGTTTTCTATCTCTTTCTGGTTCAGTTTTGGGAGACTATGTGTTTCTAGAAATTGGTCCCTTTCACTTAGATTGTCGAATTTGTTGCTGTATAATTGTTCATAATATTTATGCACAATCTTATGTATTTCTGTTATTATTTCTTCTCTTTCATTTCTGATTTTGTGTATTTGGGTTCTCTCTCTTTGTTTCTTGGTGAGTCTAGCTATGGGTCCATCAGTCTTGTTTATCTTTTCAATGAACCAGCTGTTTGTTTCATTGATTTTTTAAATTGTTGTTTTGGTCTCCACATCATTTATTTCTGCTCTGATCTTTACTATTTCCTTTCTTCTACTTGCTCTGGGTTTTCTTTTTGTTTGCTTTCTAGTTCTTTAAGTTGTGAGGTTAGATAGTCTATTAGAAATTTTTCTTGCTTCTTGACATAGGCCTGTAGTGCTATGAACTTCTCTCTCAGAACTGCTTTCACTGCATTCCATAGAAGTTGTGTTGTTTTGTGTTCATTTTCATTGGTTTCCAGAAAGTTTTTAATTTCTTCCTTGATCTCCTCGGTGACCCATTCATTGTTCAATTACATCCTATTTAGCCTCCATGTTTTCAAATGTCTTTGCATATTTTTGTTGCAATTGATTTCTAGTTTTAAGCCATTGTAACCTGAGAAGATGCTTAATATGATTTTTTAATCTTCTTTATAGATTGTATGTGAGTTTATTCCACACACGGATGGACTCACACAAGGGTTAACAAGGATATTCTGCACACAGATGCCTTGGAGTGCTGCTCAATCCTTAAGAATAATTCAGAGCAAAATCCTGCACACAGGCATGCTCCTCCTTGCCTGCAAACAGGAAGTATGAGATATTCTTAAGAGCAGCACTGACCTTTGAGCAGTGGAAATAGTTAGATTAGTTATCTTGATAGAAATTAGGACCACGGCAACCTCTTTGGCTATAAAAATAAACAGCTGCAGGGTTTCGGGGCTGCTGCAGTCTTGTCTGTCTTTGTGTCAGTTTGTGTATTTTGTTCATTTTGCAGACCCTCTCAACAAGTGGCACCCGAATAGGGACCTGAAATACAAGACTAGAAAAATTACCTGCAGTTGAAAGAAGGGATAGCAAAACCAAACGGGTAAGTACCCCAGAACAAAAAGTAAATACAGGGGAACTTTTGGGATAAAAATTAGGAATCCCCCATCAATGGAACAGGAGTATTTAAAGCTCCTCAAAGGTTTGTTGCACTCCACTGGAGTTGAAGCAACTGACAAATGTTTTAAGAAACTATTTAAGCATGTAAATCAGAAATGTTATTGGTTTGCTAGCCAGCATAAAGTACAACTTAATTTGAAGGAATGGAAGCAAGTAATGAGAATTTTATAAAAGTGTCACCAACAAGGGCAGACTATGGACTTAAACTTATGGATGCTTTGTAGTGCCATAACTCAGGCCCTTCAGCTGTTAGAATCCTCTAGTGAAGGAGGATCCCCAAATAAGCCGGAGCTGGAAGAGGAGAAGATATATGAGGACGTTTCTTCTTCCTTACCTCCTCCTCCATGTCCTGAACATCCCGAGGACAGTGATTCAGAGTCTTCCTCTATAAGTTCAGATGACTCTAATAATAATGATACCAAAGTATTAATTACATTAATAAAAAAACTGTTAAAAGGACAGGAGGCTTTATCTACTATCCAGCCTACTGCCCCTCCTCTAGCTGCATATCTAGCCACTATAAGTTACCCTCCACCACCACCTCCTGTACCTGGGGCTTCTGCAGCCCCTCCTATAGGGCCTCAGAACTATGTCTTTGGGCCTTCTGGTCCCCCAACAATATTTCCATTCCCCTTGGCTGGAATGAGGAGGATCCACCCTTATTGTTTCCTATTCAGAGGCAGAGATTTGCCGCCAATGCTCAATTTCCACAAGGAGGCATGGATGTTTAATATAGCACCTTGCAGTTTAAGATTTTGAAACAATTAAAATCCGCCATCACTCAATATGGACCTCAATCTCCTTTTGTGGTGGGACTGTTAGATTCATATGCATCGGGAACTCTCCTCATACACAAAGATTGGGAAACAATTGGAAAAACTGTTTTAGAAGGTTCTCAATAGTTACAGTTGAGAAGTTGGTGGTTTGAGGAGGCTTGAATACAGGCTCAGCTAAATGAAAGTCTCAGTCCCCCCAGGCCAACCTACGATGAGTTAGCAGGAATGGGAGCTTTCTCTACTATTGCACAACAAGCGGGCCTTACAGATGCTGCACTAGTACAAATCAAAAACATATATTTAAAGGCAAGGCAAAAAATTGAGTCTACTGGGCAAACTGCTCCCTCTTTTGTAAAGACTATGCAAGGTCCTATGGAGCCATATACTGATTTCTTATTTCAATTAACAAATGCTGTGATGAGAGGAATCAGTCAAGGAGAAGCTGCTAGAATAGTTTTGCAGTCTCTAGCTTTTAAGAATGCAAATTCAGAATGTAGGCATATACTAAGTCCCTTAAAGGGGTAGGGTGCCTCCTTAGATGATTATATACGGGCCTGTGCAGGAGTAGGTAGCCCAGAGCATCATGCTAATGTTTTCACTACTGCCTTAGCCTCAGACCTTAATAATAAGGGAACATGTTACAATTGTGGAAAGCCAGGACATTTCAGAAAAGATTGTAGAAAAAAGAAAAAGGTGGAGGTTAAAGATACTAAGAAAGAACCTCCAGGCCTCTGTCCTAAGTGTAAAAAATGCTGTCACTGGGCTAATGAATGTTTTTCTAAGAAAGACAAAGATGGGAATTGGATTAACCCTGTTGCTCCTAAACACCCCGCAGTCAGGAAAGGCCCAGAGGGGCCCACAACCCTGGGGCCACCAGCAGAATACAGCATCTCTGCAATTCCCTGTCAGCAATGGCCTGCAATACCAGCAATCATTAGGGTAAAAGATTTAAGAGCAGCTACAAAGGGCAGTGCAGTGGCAGATTTGCCTGTAAGCCAACCTTATACCCTCTCCCCCTCTGGAGGAGTTTATAAATTATCTGTTGGGGTTTTCAGGCCACTTCCCAGAGAAATGTTTGGATTGCTACTAGGGAGAAGTAGTTCTATTCTCCGAGGCCTCCAAGTCCATCCAGGGGTTATTGATTCAGATTACAAGGGAGAGATAAAAATTATGGCTCAAGTATCACAAACCTTGAGTTTAGTCGCTGGGGAACGCATTGCTCAACTGCTCCTCTTGCCTTATCATTCTTTTAAAACTCAGAATGTGGACTGACAGGGTGGTTTCGGGAGTACAGGAAAATAGGTTTTTTGGGAAACATTAATCAGTGACTCTTGTCCATCTCTGAAATTAACTATTCAAGACAGTGTATTTGAGGGCCCCGTGGACACAAGTGCTGATGTTTGTATCATAGCTCTTAAGTTTTGGCCACCCTCATGGCCTTATCAAGCTGTGTCTGTTACTTTGTCTGGAATAGGATCCACTAATCAGGTATTTCAAAGTACACACAAATTACTGTGTTACAGCCCTGATGGACAAACTGCCCAAACGCAATTTTACATTGTGGATGTCCCTATAAACATCTGGGGCCGAGATTTATTACAACAATTTGGGGCATTTTTACAGATATTATACTTGCCTGAATCAGTAAAAACCATGATGTTTAATATGAATTTTAATCCTGTGCCTTCAGAAAACTTGTAGTCACTGTTTTGCAACCTCAAACCCTACCTCTTAAATGGTTAACTGAAGAACCAAAATGGGTGGAGCAGTGGCCTCTGACAAAAGATAAGCTCGAGGCTTTAAAACTTTTAGTTAAACAACAGTTAAAAGATAGTCATATAGAACCTACCACATCTCCATGGAACTCTCCCGTTTTTGTTATTAAGAAAAAGAGTGGCAAATGGAGATTCCTAATAGATTTAATAGAAGTTAATAAATGCATAGAATCTATGGGGCCTCTTCAGCCTGGCCTTCCATTGCCACCCATAATTCCTGAATCCTACAAAATCTTAGTCATTGATTTGAAAGATTGTTTTTTCATGATTCTTTTACGAACAGGACAAAGCTAAATTTGCTTTTACTATCCCTGAGTATAATAATGGCAGGTCTACTAAACGTTATCAATGGCAGGTTTTACCCCAAGGAATGATTAACAGTCCCACTTTGTGTCAAGAATTTGTAGACAGAGCTTTACAGCCCTTGTGAGAAAAATATCCTCAAATTATTCTGTATCATTACATGAATGATATATTGCTAGCAGCTCCTACTTTAACTGAGAGAAATCTTTACTATAAGGAGCTTAAAGAAGACTTGCAACAGTTCAATTTATGTACAGCTCCTGAAAAAGTACAATTAGAACCTCCTTTTGTTGTAACCCAGGAGATCAACCAAACTCAGACGCCGAGATGGGATTTAATAAAAGGAGTTTATTGAGCTAAGTCCGCAGGCACCTGCAGTATGTCCCACATAGGAGTAACAGCAGCCCCGGAGAGCTAAAATGGCTCCTTTTTATAGGATTTTGTAAGGGGGGTGCTACATGTAAGCAAGCATGTTACAGAAGCAGAATTTAGCAGTTAGTTAATTACCTGTTACTCAGTTTCCCAGATATCTCAAAGGTCAAGATGTTTTCAATAGATTATTCCTGGCACGAGCCCAGGATTACTCAAGGGTTAGTTATTACCCCGGGGTTAGCGATTACTCAGGGGTTGGTTAGTGAAGAATGTTCTTCAGTAGATGAGTAACTGACAGCCCCTTTGGTTGTCTTGAAGGCCTCTGGGAGTTTAGGTCAATGGCATTGAGTTATAACATTCCCCACTTCTTCTGGTGAATTAATCAAATCCTTGATTCATATTAGTCATCAATAAGGGGTAAGCATTGGTAATGTTGCTTTTGGGCTAATACCATAAGCTTAATTGATTGGACCCGCTCCTTGACAAATGCAGTGATTCTGTTAAGGATGATAGGCCTGCAGGCTAAGGCTATGAATAAGAGGAAGAGCAGACCCACTAGATCTGTGAGGAGGGTGGTCAGCCAAGAAGACCACTCTCATACCATGAGGTGGAGGTAAGTTCTTCTTTCTCTCTATCTCATAATCACTTTTGCAGCTCTTGCATAGATTGTCTGATGATACCTGAGTGGTTAGCATAAAAACAACAGGTCTCTCCTAGGGCAGCACAGAGGCCTCCCTGTTTGAGGAAGAGCAGATCTAGACCTCTGTGATTTTGGAGGGCCACTTTGGCTAGGGAGTCAACCTTTTTTTCAAGGTATTTGACTTGGGTTTGGAGTAATTCAATATTATGGGAGAATGTGGCTGACAGATCATGAAGGGCAAGGTCATTCTTAATGAGGGCTGTTGCCCCTAGGGCAGTGGAGCCGGCAATACCAAGAGTAGCTAGTACAGGGATCAGAATGGGTACACATTTCTGGAGTCTAGAATGATAGTCTGAGGCTAGAAAATGGGCTGCACCTGGGGGCCCTGCATATAGGTATACCTGGGGAACTATATAGATAACAACACAAAGATCTGAATGGTTCCCAGAGCTAATGCAATGGTGGATACCTGATAAGCATGCAAACCAAGTCCCACTAGGTGCAATCAGAGTCCATGAGGGTGAGCCTTTGGCTCGCAGAGAGGTGCTGGTCAGGCAGTTGTCCTTGTATGACTAAGCCTGGAGGTCAAGGTTTCCAAGGATGAAGCAGGTCCCCTGTCCTTGAAGATCTCCTAGGGTGAACTTACTGGCTCTGGCACAGTTGGCTAGGGTTTCTTCCCCAGGTGAGTCTGAGTCACTAAAAGTTTGGTTCATGGGGGCAAGAGTACCCGTGGCATTTGCCCCAATACCAACATAGTAGGGTGGTGCTGGATCTACACAGAGCCAGCAGTCTTCAGTGGTGCTAGGTTGAGAACTATTTAAGAGGGAGAAAACAGAATCTAACATGGTTAGAAGTGAGTTGCTAAAGGAATTGAGGGGGTGTGGCATTGGCACCTGAGGAGACCCAGAAGCTGGAGCTGTTGTCCTATTCTGGCTCTCTAGAGACTCTATGAGTGTTACTGGGTTGAGAATGTGGTTTGGTCTGATGGGAAGCCTTGGGGGTAGACCCCCGGCAGGGTTGGGTGGGTCCCTCCAAGAAGGAACCCAGGGAAGTCACTAAATGGTGAATAAGGTACCAATGTTGTATCCAGTGAGATATAGTTTCAATCCCCATGTTTTTCCAGTGAGCCAGGCTGAGTTTAGGGGCTGTTTTATAGTAATAGTGGTGGGGTTACAAGTTTGGTTCTTGCAAGTAGGGTCTATTCCATCTTGTCCCTTGTAGGTATGGGGTGTGCAGTCCTGCAGGAGGGTTATATCATCATCATTGCTGCCCCCTGGTGACCATCCGAGGGCTAGGATCTCACAACCCCAGGCCTTACAATAAAATTCTCCCGGTCCACCACATGTAGCCCTCATATGCCTGGGGAATGGGTTTTCGGGACAACCATAATACTGAGTGCTCCATAGGACATGGTTAAGGTGTCCCAGGTTACAGACTGAAGTTTTACTTGCTGAGCCAAAGCAAGTTATTGGTTGGGTTGTGTGACGAGAACCAAATTCTCCATGACAGGTTGTCATCAAAGAATTGTGAAAAGTCAGTCTTAAGGGTTACCTGGGAGGTTTGGAAGGTCTCATTGATGGCTAGCCTAGAGACATCTCTAGTCCTGTTGAGGATCCAGGTATGTTTAGTTGGAATGCTGCAGAGGGTAGGAACCCATAACAAACTCAAGAGGATGCAGTAAACTTGAGTTTTAGAGGGTCTGTGGGATTCTTGGAAAGAGCCCATTTCTTTGGGATAGGATCAGGGTGTGCTTTCTTTACCTGGGTGTGGTGAATCCACGGTCTCTTATTAGACACCTTAAAGGCTGTTAGAATTACCAAGTGGGGCCCATCCCAGGTAGGTTCGAGGGTTTCCTTCTTAAACTTTTTGATCCAAATCCAGTCACCAGGCTCAATGTCCAGTGGGGGTGGTTCTGCTTCAGTGGGTTGTTTTCTTTCCTTGGCTGAGAGGCGGGCCTCTCTTCTGATGACTTTGATGGCCTTCAAAGACTTGAGAAGCCCCTGGTTAGATAATTCACCTATGTGGTCATAATGAATCTTAGGGATGATAGGTGGTGGTCTCCCATAGATGATTTCATAAGGGGTAAGGTTCTTGAGATATGGGGTGCATGAGGTGTGCAGCAGAGCAAACGGCAAGAGGTTTACCCAATTATCACTGGTTTCAATCTTAAGTTTGATAAGAGTCTCCTTACGAGTTCTATTCATTCTCTCTACCTGACCTGAGCTTTGTGGTCTATAGGCACAATGTAATTTCCAGCCTATTCTGAGAGCTTCTGCTATTAATTTGGAAATTTTGGCTATGAAAGCTGGCCCATTGTCTGACCCCAGTACTAAGGGAAGGCCAAATCTAGAAATGATCCCAGTTAGAAGATGTCTGGCAACTATGTTAGCAGTCTCATGCCTTGTGGCAAAAGCCTCAGTCCATCCTGAGTAGGTGTCAACAAAAACTAGTAAGTACTTAAATCCAAATTTGCTGGTTGAGATCTCAGTAAAATCAAGTTCCCAATGCTCACCTGGTTCATGTCCTCTGATTTGGACCCCAAGTCCATGGGGTCTGGGAGGTCCTGGATTTACCTGTGCACAGTCAGAACATCAGGTAACCTCCGAAGTGGCTATAGTCTTGAGATCTGGAATATAGAAGTGTCTACTGACTAGAGAGATTAATTTTGATGTGCCTAGGTGAGTACTATAGTGGAGATCTCTAATGAGAGCAATTCCCATGGCTTTGGGGAGAAGTAGTCTTCTGTCGGGGAACGGATGCTAGTTCTCCTTTTCTGTTGAACAATTTAATTTCTTTCCCAGGTTGAGCTCCTCTTTATTGTAGGATGGCGAGGAGGGAAATTCCCGAAGGGGAAGAAGAGCAGGGAGGATTTCTATAGGTTTTACCTCAGTTAGGGCAATTTGTTTAGCAGTCCAGTCTGCTAGGTCATTTCCTTCTTTTGTCTGACTAGGCTTGGTTTCGTGCCCTCTGCAGTGAACAAGGGCTACAGCCTTAGGTTGCCAGATGGCTGCTAAGAGGTTGAGTATTTCTTCTCTATTTTTAATTTTTTTTCCCAGCTGATGTGAGAAGTCCCCTTTCTTGGTATAGGGCTCCATGCACATGAGCAGTTGCAAAGGCATAGTGGCTGTCAGTATAGATGTTGACCCTCTTGCCTTTTGCCCAGTAGAGTGCCTGTGTCAGGGCAATCAGTTCTGCTTTCTGTGCAAAAGTTCTGTGGGGCAAGGCCTGAGCCCATATTACCTGTAAGTTGGTGACTACTGTTGCCCTGGCATACCGAGTTCCATCCTTGATGAAACTGCTCCCATCAGTATAGAGGTCATAGTCAGAGTTGGCTATTTGCTCATCTTTGAGGTCCAGTCTTGTTCCCTCTATGGAGTCTAGTAATGAGTAGCAATCGTGGAGCAGTTTTCCTTGATTCTCGTCAGGGAGTAAGGTAGCTGGGTTGAGGGCAGTAGACTTGGAGAAGGTAACCTGTGGTAGGTTCAATAATAGTACCTGATATTGGGTGAGGTGAGCGTTGCAAATCCATCTGCCAGGAGGAGACCTGAGTAAGGCTTCAGTGGTGTGGTCTCTGATGATTTGGAGGTCCTGGCCTAAGGTCAGCTTCTGCGCCTCCTTGACAAGGAGAGCGGTTGCAGCTATCGCTCTCATGAAAGACGGCCAGCCTGCGGCAACAGGGTCAAGCTGTTTGGAGAGATAAGCAATTGGGAGTTTCCATGGTTCCAGAGTCTGGGTTAGGACTCTTTTGGCTATGCCTTTGAGTTCTGCAATGAAAAGCTGAAAAGGTTTTAAAGGTGGCATCTGACAAGGCAAGGGCAGGGGCTGAGGCAAGCGCCTGTTTAAGTGTTTCAAAAGCCTCTTCCTCCTTTTCAGTCCAAGTTAAATCAGGTTCCTTTCCCCCAGTATATGAATAGAGGGGTCCTGAAAATTCTGCAAACCCTAGAATCCACAGTCCAACCATGCCTAGAAATTCTCATACCTGCCTTTTGGTGATTGGCCTTGGGACTCCAAGGATTGCTTGGATTCTTCCTGAGGATAAGGTGTGTTTTCCTTTCTCTAAATGGTAACCCAAGTAGGTGGCTATCTTGACACAGATTTGGGTTTTTCTCATGGATACCAAGTACCCAAGTTTGCCTAACTCAATGAGAAGGGCTTGAGTGGCAGCAAAGCAGTCATTGGAGGTACGAGCAGCTAGTAGTAGGTCATCTACATATTGGAGCAGTGTTACCTGTGGGTGGCTTTCTCAGAAGTTGAGGAGGTCCTGGCTCAGGGCTTCATCAAAAATGATGGGAGAGTTCTTGAAGCCCTGAGAGAGTCTGGTCCAGGTAAGCTGGCCTGAGAAACCCCCTTCAGGGTCTGTCCACTCAAAGGCAAAGATGGGTTGGCTTTTCGCAGCAAGCGGCAGGGTAAAGAAGGCATCTTTGAGGTCCAGGACTGAGTAGTAAACCTTGTCTGGAGGTAAAAGACTCAGAATGGTATATGGATTAGGCACAGTAGGGTGGATAGACTCAACCCTTTTGTTTACCTCCCACAAATCCTGAACTGGCCTATAATCTTCCATTCCCAGTTTCTTCATGGGCAACAATGGGGTGTTCCAGGGGGACTAACACGGAATTAAAATGCCTGCATCTCTCAGTCTCTTAATATGTTTGGCAATCCCTTCCTTAGCCTTTTGGGGAATTGGGTATTGTCTGACTTGAATGGGAGTAGCAGTGCTGGCCAATTGCACAATGATAGGGGGCTGGTGAGAGGCTAGCCCTCGTGGGTTTGTTTCAGCCCAAACTTCAGGAATCTGTATGGCTAATTTAGTCAAGACATCCTGTGAGTTACTTTCCCCAGTGGGAGGTGACATTTCCTCTTGAAGGAGATATTCCTCAGAAAGGGGTACTGTAACCATGATGGTGGAAGGTTGTTGGTTCCTTAGGCTTAGAGTTGTGCTATTGTCTTGAAAAGTTATAGTTGCTTTCAGCTTTTGCAGCAGGTCTCTGCCAAGCAATGGGTAGGGGCAGTTGGGCATTACGAGGAAGGAGTGAGTGATAGTGCTATTCCCAAGATCAGTGATTCTGGCCTTAGTCCATATGTATGCTTTTGGCTTTCCTGTCACCCCTATAATCTATGTCTTTTGGGAGGAGAGCTTTCCAGAGGCCTGCTTCAGGACCGAATAGGTGGCCCCCGTGTTGACAAGAAAGTCAGTTTGTTTTCCCTCAACTGTCAGGGTTATCATGGGTTCCTGGGGGCCTAAATTGATGGAACCCTGACCCCCCTAATCTTCCTCAGTCTCTAGAAATAAGTGTGCAGGGGTTTCTTGTGCTTGCCATTAGCTTGGGGCAATCTTTCTTCCAGTGTCCCATAGCCTTGCAGAAGACACACTGATTTTTCTTAAGTTGGGGTCTACCTTTAGATGGTTCCTTATTCCCCTGATAGGTGACTAGTGGTCCCTTGTTAGGGTTTGCCAGCAAGATTCAAGACAGTTGCCTAGTTTGCTCCTTAATGGGATCCTTCCGGTTCTGAAAAACTTTCTGAGCTATTTCAAGTAACTCACTTCTATTCTTTCCCTCAAAGCCTTCTAATTTCTGCAATTTCTTTCTGATGTTTGGGGTTGACTGTGAGACGAAGGCCATGTTGACCATTCATCTATTCCTATCTGCATCCAGGTCTAAGGGGGTATAACTTCTGTAGGCCTCTAATAATCTTTCTAAAAAGGCCATGGGAGATTTGTCTTTCCCTTGCATAGTGGCTGCTACTTTTTCTATATTGGTGGGTTTTTAGCAGCGCCCCTTAGACCCCTGAGGAGGTTTCAGTGATAAGTGTGTAACCTCTGCATCCCCTCCCGAGTGTTTGGATCCCATTCTGGGGGTTGTTGAGGCAGTTCATCATCTAAGTTCTCGGGGTCAGCGTCATCCCCGGCCACAGCCTTAATTGCCTCAGCGCGTATCCTCTCCTTCTCCTCTGAGGTGAACAAAGTTTGTAAGATCTATTGACAATAGTCCCAAGTGGGTTGGTGGGTCCGAAATACAAACTCCAATAAATTTATCAGAGCTTGTGGTTGCTCCAAGAAAGGGGGGTTTGTTGTTTCCAATTATATAATCACTAGTTGAAAAAGGGACATAGATCATATGCGTCGGGCCCATAGTGCCGGGCACGGCGGGCACCTCTTGTAATGGGAGCATCGGGACCAAGGTGTCCCGTTCCCGGGCCGGTTGATAAGAGATGCCGTCCCATGTATGTGAAGGACTCAAAATTCTGGCGTTGTCAGCCGGGCCTGGGGCTCTTGCCTGAGGCTCATCTGAGGGTGTCATGGCCTTCCTGCCTGAGGTGTTTCTTGCATAGAGTGGGAGTGTCATTACTTCTAGGAGCGATTCCTCAGGATTCCCTGGGAGGACCGGATATAATTGGGGTTTGGGTGCTTTTCCAGGGGATTCTGGTTGGCTCTCCTTGGTTGCCCCCCGCGGTTGCTCCTTTGGGGCTGCAACCACAATAGTATGGTTTCTTACCTTAGCTTTCATTCCCTTTTGGGGCTTTTCCCTTCCGCATTTCGTTATATAGGGAGGCTTGTCTAATACTATGTCAATCCAAACATCTATATATACCCGTTGATCTGGGTGAGGGACCCTATAAACAACTGAACGCACAGCGAAGAGGAGGCTAGGGTCAAAACTCCCCTCTGAGGGCCATTCCATCCCGAAGGTTGGCCACTCTAGTTCACATAGCACCCTCAGGAAGCCGGGGTCTGCTGGCTTCCCATAATTACAGGACCTTTTGAGAAAATCAGAAAAGTTAGAGAGCAGACATTCAAGGGAGATCGGTTTCCTGGATGGTCCTTGACCCATGGCGTCTCTCCTGAAAGTGAAACAGAGCAGCAAGAGAGGCTGAACATACAAGAACATGAAATCAGAAGACAAACAAGAACAATCACTGAGACTAGTCTCACACCCTCACGAAACACACACACCTTCAAAGTGAAGCACCTAGGCTTCCAAAATCAGAAGTCAGCGTCTTGACTCTGATTAGAAGCAGACAGTGCATGGTGTCCTGCATGTACAGCCTCACCAAATGCTCCAGAGCCAAAGACACAGAGAAACAAATGGATCAATCCACTTACCAAGACCACGTGGCGTGAAGACCCTAAGCCGAATCTGGCCGCAGTCAGAAGATCAAATTTGTAGAGGCGAAAATGGAGGCGCCTCGCCTTGTGCCTGAGGAGGTCGACCCCTCTTAGAGGGGGACCTCAAGGTGATCTTGCTGGAGCCTCCAAATGTTGTAACCCAAGAGATCAACCAAACTCAGACGCCGAGATGGGTTTAATAAAAGGGGTTTATTGAGCTAAGTCCGCAGGCACCTGCAGTATGTCCCACATAGCAGTAACTGTGGCCCCGGAGAGCTAAAATTGCTCCTTTTTATAGGATTTTGTAAGGGGAGAGGGGTGCTATGTGTAAGCAAGCATGTTACAGAAGCAGAATTTTGTGATTAGTTAATTACCTGTTACTCAGTTTCCCAGATATCTCAAAGGTCAAGATGTTTTCAATAGATTATTCCTGGTGCGAGCCCAGGATTACTCAAGGGTTAGTTATTACCCCGGGGTTAGCGATTACTCAGGGGTTAGTTAGTGAAGAATGTTCTTCAGTAGATGAGTAACTGACAACCCCTTTGGTTGTCATGAAGGCCTCTGGGAGTTTAGGTCAATGGCACTGAGTTATAACACTTTTAATTATTTGGGCTATATTCTTGGGGAGCGACAGATAAAACCACAAAAAATCACTATCAGAACAGATCAATTAATACTTTAAATGATTTACAAAAATTACTAGGAGACATTAAGTGGCTGAGACCTGCTTTAGGAATCCCTACTAGTGCTTTGCAAAATCTCTTTGCAACATTAGAAGGAGATGCTGCCCTTGACAGTCTGTGAACTTTGACTTTAAAAGTTCTCAAAGAGCTAGAGTTTATAGAACAAAGAATTTTAGAAGCACAGTTAGATGTTTATGACCCTACTAAGCCAGTGCAGATCTATAGCTTCTATACCTCTCATTCTCCCACCGCCTGCTTAAGACAGGATGCCAAAGTTTTAGAGTGGTTGTTTTTGCCAAAAAATTCAATAAAAAATTAACTACCTACCTAGACAAAATTGCTTACCTTATCTACAAAGGCCGGAGGCCCTTATGACTACTGGCCAGGTTGGAGCCAAGTTCTGTAATCATGCGCCTCCAGCACAAACAGATTCCAAGAGCAATAGAAAACAATGAAAGCTGCAGTTAGCCCTAGCGGGATATCCAGGTCAATTTGACAATCATTATTCCACCACAAAGCTATTCAGTTTTCTTAAGGAACATGCCATTTTACCTTATAACCCAATTTCTAACATTCCTGTAGAAGGACCTACAATTTTTACAGATGCCACCAGCAAAGGCTATGCTGGCTATTGAACTAAGAATCAAACAAATGTTCAAAAATCACCGTGGGATTCAGTACAAAAGTCAGAATTGTGGGTTATTTGTTTAGTTTTACAAGATTATGCCCAGATACTTGTTAATATTGTCTCTAACTCTCAATATGCAGTACTGACCACACAGTTAATTTCACAAGTGTCTCTTCCTTTAGTGCCCTCTTCCTCCTTAGAAAAGTTATATTCTATGTTGTTCCAATGTATTATCCAAAGACAGATGCCAGTGTTTATTACTCATATTTGATCTCATTCAGACTTGCCAGGTCCCCTAAGCCAGGGGAATCAACATATTGATAAGTTATTTATTGGCTCTGTTCAACAGGCTGCTGAAGAGCACGCTTTACATCACACTAATGCTTCAGGGCTCAGAAAACGATATAATTTAACCTATAAACAAGCAAAACAAATTCTTTGCAACTGTGATATTTGTGCTTCTTACAATTTATATGCTCTACCTGCCGGAGTGAATCCTTGAGGTGGAGACATCAATCGAATTTGGCAAATAGATGTTATCCAATACACGCCTTTTGGGAAGTTAAAATTCGTCCATCATACCATTGACACTTATTCACATTTCCATTGGGCATCTGCTATGTTTAATGAAAAAACTGACTTGATTATTTCTCATTTATTAATCTTTTTTGCAGTCATGGGGAAACCAAAACACATTAAAATGGATAATGGCCCAACTTATTGTTCTAAAAAATTCGCTGACTTTTTGAAGAATATACAAAATTTCACATAGTACAGGTATCCCTTTTAATAGTTAAGGACAAGCCATCATCAAATGTGCAAATCGCACTCTAAGATCTTATTTACAAAAACAAAAAGGGAAAATACGAGGTATGAGACCCAAAGATAGTCTCCCTAAATTATTATATACTCTCAGTTTTTTTAATTATTGGGGTCAAATTGGCATGACTGCGGCAGAAAAACATTTTGCAGAGGAGCAAAAAATGCTCACAGATAAAGGCTTGGCTCGCCCTATCTGGTACAAGATACTAGATGGAGCCTGGAGAGAGGGAGAACTTCTGCATTTGGGGCAAGGATTTGCTTATGTTTCCACAGGAGAAGCGTGTGAGTAGCCACCCACCCACTGGCTAAAGTGGAGATAATGAGCAACTCTCAGCCCGTGGACGACATGCTGTTCACGTCGAGCCATCGGATTGATTATAGCTGCCATTCTTAGACTTGCTGCTGTAACTGCTAACGCTACTGTTGCTGGAGTGGCTTTACATCAGGGCATCCAAACTGCAGAGAACTGGCATTGGGATTCACATTTAATGTGGCAACAACAAGAATTGGACTGTCAAATAGCAATGGACATTCAAAACAAAACAAACTGTTGAGTAGTTGGGAGATCAGATTTCTGTGCTATCCACAAGATCTATGTTAAAATGTGACTGGAACTCTTCCCATATTTGTGTCACTCCTTTGCCTTACAATGTATCAGAGGGTTGGGAAAAAATTAAGAAAACATTAATAGGTCATGCTAATCTGACTAATGAAATTCTAGCTCTGGAGAAAAAAATTGAAAATACTTATAGCAACAACTTGGCATCTCTCACGGGAGGTGATATTTTAGAAAGCTTGGCTGATGAAATAGCAAATTTAAATCCCTTTGGACAAACTAAAAATCTTATAGGCACTACTCTCAGTAATACCATTGTTTTGCTTATAATTTTGTTTATTGCTTTTCTAGTCTTCCGCCGATGGTCCCAGCAGCAAGTAGATAACAACAATCAAAATATGTTGTCAACTTTACAGCATGTAACATCTCAAATAAAATAAAAAGGGGGGAAATGTACATTATATGTGAGTTTATTCTGCACATGGATGAACTCATACAAGGGTTAACAAGGATATTGTGCACACAGATGCCTTGGAGTGCTGCTCAATCCTTAAGAACAATTCAGAGCAAAATCCTGCACACAGGCACACTCCTCCTTGCCTGGAAACAGGAAGGATGAGATATTCTTAAGATCAGCACTGACCTTTGAGCAGTGGAAATAGATTAGTTATCTTGATAGGAACTGGGACCACGGCAACCTCTTTGGCTATAAAAATAAACATCTGCATGACTTTGGGGCTACTGCAATCTTGTCTGTCTTTGTGTGTGTTTGTGTCTTTTGTTCATTTCACAGACCCTCACTGCAATGCTTCTTGAACGTGTAGAGACTTAGTTTGTGCCCTAATATGTGGTCTTTCTTTGAGAATGTCCCATGGGCACTTGAGAAGAATGGGAATTCTGCAGTTTTGGGATGTAATTCTCTGTAGATATCTGTGAAAACCATTTGATCTAGAGCTTCATTTAGAGTCTGTGCTTCCCTGTTAATTTTTTGTCTAGAAGATCTATCCAGTGATGTCAGTGGGGTATTGAAGTCCCCTGCTATGATTGTATTGCTGTTGATTTCTCCTTTGAAGTCCTCCAGATTTTTAATATATGTTGGTGCTCCTATATTGGGTGCATATATATTTACCAGGGTTATATCTTCCTGTTGGATAGATCCTTTCAATATTATGTAGCGGCCTACTTTGTCTCTAGTTATGGTCTTCATTTTGAAATCTACTTCATCAAATATGAGTATTGCTACCCAGCTTTTTTTTGCTTTCTGTTTGCTTCAAAGATTTTTTTTCCATCCCTTCACTTTCAACCTATGTGAGTCTTTTGTTGTGAGGTGAGTCTCTTGTAAACAACATATATGTGAGTCATGCTTTCTTATCCAGTCAGCTATTCTGTGTCTTTTTATTGGAGCATTCAAACCATTCACATTTAAGGTGATAATTGATATGTACTTATTTATTGCCATTTTTGTTTAGTGTGCTTCTATTTTTCTTCCAATTTCTTCCAGTAATTACAGCAGTCCTTTTAGCATATCTTGCATTGCTGGTTTGGTGTTAATATATTCCCTTAGTCTTTTTTCGTCTGGGAAGCTATTTATTTGACCTTCTATTTTGAATGATAGCCTTGCTGGATAGAGTAGTCTTGGATTCAGATCCTTGTTTTTCATGACCTTGATTACTTCATGCCACTCCCTTCTGGTCTGTAGTGTTTCTGTTGAGAAGTCAGCTGATAGCCCATGGAGTTTCCTTTGTAGGTAACCTGTTCCTTATCTCTTGCTGCCTTTAGGATTCTCTCTTGGTCTTTAATTTTGGGCATTTTAATTACTATGTGTCTTGGTGCGTGCCTGTTTTGGTTCTTCTTGGCTTCTTGAACTTGAAGGCCTTCTTTCTTCACCAAGTTAGGAAAGTTTTCTGTTACTATTTCTTTAAATATATTCTCTAATCATTGCCCATTTTCTTCCTCTTTGGGGACTCCTATAATGTGAATGTTATTATGTTTCCAGTTGTCCCAAAGTTCTCTTAAGCTGTCTTCCTGTTTTTCAATTGTTTTTTTTTTCCTTTTGGTTTTCTGATTGGTTGATTTTTTCTATCCTGTCTTCCAATTCACTGATCCAACCCTCAGCTTCCTCTACTCTGGTGGTTAGTCCTTTCAATGTGTTCTTAATTTCTGCTATGTCATTCTTCATTTCCACTTGGTTGGTTTTCAGTGTTTCTATATCTTTACTCATGGTGCTGATGTTCTTACTCATGCTGTTGAGCTTCCTCAAGATCTTGGCTCTGAACTCTACCTCTGATAACTTCCTTACCTGCATTTAATTTATCTCATGTTTGATAGAGTTCTCTTGTTCTTTCATTTGGGATTTGTTTCTTTGTTTCACTATTTTGTCTATCTCAGTGGGTTTTGGAGCCTGCCAAATTTTCCATGTGAATGTTGGTGTTCTGCTGTTTGTGACTCCCTCTACTGGGTTTGGATGAGCCTAGGTGGGCCCACATTAAACAGCACTGTGAAGTCTTACTTTTCTGGGTAGATTTGCAAGCCCAGGAAAGGTTCAGTTATCCTCTAGCTTTTTCCTGGTGGCTAGTAGTCTCAGTTACTCAGTGCCTTGGAATGTATTTCTTTTGTTCTGCATAAGAGGATTTCCAGAGGGTGGGATAGATGCTGGTTGTTAATGAGCCTCAGTTTGCATGACTTTGCCTTACCTGGGAAAGGCTGAATCTCTGAGGGGATGGGCCTGCTGCTTTTCCCCAGAGCTCAGGGAAGGAGCACACTGGCCGCCATCCTTTGTGGCTGCAATTCAGCAAAAACTCTGAGTGTCCTCCAAATCCCAGTTGTCCCCACAGAGTTCCAGCCCAGTCTGCCCTCCCTCTGCCATAGCCTCCAGGTGAGTGGCTGTGGCTATTTTAGCACTCTGTCCTGGCTCTCTGCACTGTGCAGTGGGCTTGATCTTTATTCCCCAAGGGTGCTGCTCACAGCTAAGACTGCTGCTGTCTGTGGGCTCCCAGCCCACCACTCTTTCATGCCTCTGCAGATCCTACCAGTGTCCTTAGGTATATGGTCCTGTCCTGATGCTTTTGTGTTACTTTTTTCTAAGGATTTATCTTTATTTTAGTTGTAATTCCCATTGGCTCCAGGGAGATCATGTGCGTAGCTTCTATTCACTCTGCCTCCATTTTCACATCCTCTATGCCTATCTTGTGTGCAGCTGGGTCGCACAGGCCTCTCTGGTGCCCCTGCACCCTGCAGGTCCCACGGGTAACTGGATGGCACAGTCCCTGCTGGGTCCCACAGGCCTCTCTGGTGCCCCGTACCCTGCAGTTCTCGCAGGTGGGCATCTGGATCTCACCAGTCTCTCTGCTCTTGTGGCTACTGGACCACACAGGCCTCTGTGGAACCCCAGTTCCCACTGCTGGTGACTAGGGAGTACTGCTGCCCTGTGGGACTTAACTCCTGCTCAGCATTTGCTGTAGTTTGTGGGGATGGGTCTCAGCTGGTGGTCTGTGCTTCTGTTGCCTGGGGATGAATGTCTGCTCCCCACCCTCTCTTGACTCTGATCAGGCTGCTACTATGGATAATGGTGCTGGGCTCCAGGCTGTCTGTGGCTTCTGCGACTGGCTCCTTGGGAGCTCCACTACTACTGTGCACTGGTCTGTGTTGACACAGATTGTGCACTGATCCAATAGTGCCAGGTGTGCTGGTGGCCTCAGGCTGCTGGGCCCTAGCTGCTTCCACTGCCTCCTCCCAGGGAAGACCCAGGATCTTTCAAATTGGTGGGATATCTCCCTGGCGCAGGGAGAAGTGCCCTGAAGAGCTGCTTATTGCAGTAGCTGGCTGCTCCCATCCACAGCACAGAAACCTTCTGCTCTGTGGTTCTGCACTGTTTGGGTTTGGTTGTCCACCTTCACATCCACTCACACTCTCTTACATACTCACTCTCCCTCCAGTCCTGCCCACCATCATCTTCTCTCTTTCATTTCTGGTGTTAATTTAAATCAGGTAGACTCATTCCACATAAGTTTTCCAGAGTCATTAATTTATTTTAGGTGGGAGAAGGACCAGCTCCCCCACCCCCCAGCTACTGAAATCTATGTGCAAGTCCCCCTTCCTTGGATGACAAGTTCATCCTAGGGTCATAAACCTGGGCCAGGAGCAGAGACAGCCCATCCAATCTCCTGGGATTAAAGGTTGAAAGTTACTTACACAGGCAGAGCTGAAATTGGGTGTCTTATAAATAGCACTTGTGAGGGCCACCTCGTTACCCAGGACAGTGGCTGCTTTTCTACACTTCAAGAAAAATGAACACTCTGCTTCTCCTGCTAAGGTATCTTTTTTACTACCAATTGGGGAATTGTAGTTGTTAAAGTCAAAGTGGAATTCATCAGCACTAAATGGGGAAAATTGTAAAAAAGATTAAAACATACAATGTGGAAAGGAAAAGGTCAGAGGAAGATTAATAGCAAAGAAAATGAGGGCATGCAGGATTCCATCCTCAGTCCCCATCAAGTGCCCTGCAGTTAGCCTTTTAACTAAATTTGAATCCTCCTGGGAGAGAGCCACTAGCTCCCCCTAACCTCCCATAGGTCAGGCACACCATGTTCACTCCCCTCCTCCTGGCCCTGATGAATGTACTTTGGTTATGTTATAGGGGTGTGCACCTTTCCTGTGAGGCTGAAACATGCAACCTGGCAGACAAGGGAGGAGGTATAAGCAGGACTGATGTCCATGGGCAGCAAGAACACATTACCAATTAAATAATGCAGTGCTTTCAACCCCATTGAGAAAGACATCTGTCCTGAGCTCACAGGCTAACAGCAGACTTAGCAGGAAGCCTCTGGGGCAAACACAGCCTCCAACGTGCACCCTATCACCCATTTCAACAGCTCCAGAATATACAGCTTGTAAAGGCAGGAGCCTGGTAAAATGTGGGTAGTTCTGAGTTATCCCCTCCTCCCTGATGGCTAGAAGTGTCACCAGCATAGGGCCCAGAGTGACTGTGCAAGAAGTAGACATAGTATAGAGCAAAATGAGATGTGATTATTAAACCAGTGTTTGTGAGGTTGATTACTGATGGCTTAGTGGGACTCAGATAGTGCAGAGGTAATGTACAAGGAAAGACTGAACTGACACATACAAACAGTGGTTGTTGATTTGCGGTGTGCAAGCACTGTCAAATGGCTCACAGTGGTTGTGCAGGATGGGGAGCTGGACGAAGCAGAATGGTGAAACATGGCTAGGAACCTATCCTAGTAAGTGTTCAGTGTCTCTTGCACTGGGAGTGTGCAATAGGACAGTGTTGAACAGCAAATGGTGGCTGTGAACAGCAAGTTTGAACGTGAGCATGGGAAGAGCAATTGTTAAATGCCACAGAGGGTGTGCTGGAGTAAATGTTGGACAGAGCGAAATGCACAAACATAGACTGGTTGTTGAAGTGCACATTGTGAGTGGGTAAAAGGTGACTGCCAATGTGCAAAGTGTGAGGTTGAATGGAGAATGAGAGTGGCTTTTGAATTACACAGAGTGCGCAGTGATTAAATGGCAGAGGGTGTGCAAATAGTGAGTTGGTTGGTATAGAATGAATGTGCAAAGGGCGGCTGCAGAATTAACCAGTGAGAGTGTTTTGTCAGTGTGCCAAAACAGTGGTTGCAAAACACTCAGGGAAGTGTGCAGAAGGACTGTCAAATGGAAGTGTGTGGGGGCAGGTAAGTACACTAAGGGGGGAGGGTCATTAAATTGCCCACAGTACCTGTGCAAGGAGATAGTGTTGAATATGTGAGCCTTTTAAGAAGTGGGTGCTGGAGGGAGCAGTGACTGCTAAATCCCAGTGAACAAACACAGAGTGATTACATTGGTCGCATTTATGTGCTAACATAGCAAGGCCATAGACTCACTTGGTCAAACACCCGTGTGGATATTGCTGTGAAAGGTTTTTAGATGAGATTCATATTTAACTGAGAAGACAGAACAAAGCAGATGACTTGCCATAATGTGGGCGGGCCTTGTCCAATCAGTTGAGGCCTTAAGAGCAAGGCCCAAGGTATATGAAGAAATAATTTCGCCTCCAGATTGCAACACAGAAACTTTGCCTGAGTCCTGCCTTTGGACCCAAGAGTACAGTGTCAACTCTTCTCTGGGGCTCCAGCCTTCCCTGCTGACTAATACTCACAAGCCCCATCTCTCTCCCATACAACCTGGTTCCCTGGTGAACACTCATACCATGATTAGGTGGTACAGAGGTGTGCAGGGAGTGGACACTGGATGGTACAGATAAGCGTGCAGAGGTTAAAATATATAACAGTGTGTAATAATTGATTTGCTTGGCACAGAAGAGATATATAAGGATTGGGAGTTGGATGGGAAGTGAGTGTGCAGAGTAGTTGTTTAATCAGTTTGCATTGACTCTGAATGGCAAACATGTGTGCAACAAGTAGGTGGATGGTGCAGAACGGATGTGCAAGGTGTGGAAGAGGCCTGGGCTCCAACTGCCCTGCAGGTAGACCCTAATCAGGGCCTTCTCACTGCTGGTTGGGAACAAAGAAGTGGCCCTGGAGGCTCTGAAAGGGAAGGCCTAGCTGCAGCAAGCAGGAAGGAAACAACACATGAGTGTTCACACCTGCCACTTACTGCCAGCCGGACCTGAGTGTCTCCTGAATACGATGCTTGTTATACCTGGGGGCCTAGGAGCCAGTGAAGGAAAGTAGGGTGCTATTTCAACAGTGGTTGGAATGTGGGATAGAGAAACACAGGCCCTGCAGCATGGAGGTGCCTTGGGCCAATGTCTCTATCCCACCCAAAGGGGCTTGCTCAGAGGGAGAGGTGTGGACTTGGGTGGTGTGGTACTACTGCAGAGTGGTCCTAAAAGACAAATCATTGCCCTGTACTGCCATAAAAGGGAGGCCTGTCAGCTTGGTGCTGGCCTTTGCTGAGGGAAGGCTAGAGACACCAAGAAAACCCAGCCACATGCTGGTCACACTCCAGATTCCTTGCCACAGGTCTAAATTACCAACTTTCCACCCACCCCCAGTGGATCTGAGACCCCAGTCTTGCTGGGCCTCATAAGAACAAGGAACCTGGACCCTCTGGACAGGTACTGAAGTCCTGGGATACCAGGACGGTACCAGACCCTTAAGAGCAGGAACCATATCTGGGAGGCCAAGGCAACAAGGCTCAGCAGGAAGGCAACATGTCCTAGGCCACACAGGAGGATGGAGCTTTATTTCTAGAAGGAACCTTGGAGTAGGGCACTGCCTTCCATACAAGTGCCTCAAGGGTCACAGCCCACACTAAAGGGACTCTGTGGCGGCCACGACTTCCTCCAGATGCTGCAGGAGATCCTCTGGCCGCTGTGAAAACATGCTGGTGTCTACTCTCTGGAAGTCGGGGTTGACCACCACAGATGCCAGCACCTCAGCAATCCGGCCAATGTCAAAAATGGTCTGCTGGGGCCCCAGCCCAGAGCCCTCAATGCGCTCCACTTCACCAGGGCCTATGTCCTTCACTAGGAGGAGCCTCCTTTTGGCAATGACCTCGAGGAAGTGGTAAAATTCTTCGAAATTGATCCCAGAGCAGGACCTCATGATGATCTGGGGCAGAGAGGAATGAACAGTGAGCTACTGCTCACCTTGCACCTACAGGCAGGTTTCTGATGACTGTGGAAAGAGTCCCACCTATAAAGGATCCCAAGCCATGGACCAGTTTTTGAGGATGGAGACAGATACCTAGGGGCCAGCAAGTGATGGTTGGGTCTGAGCTCTGCAGCCTAGAAGTTGCTGTGATCTGCCTCAGCCCCAGATTGACCCTCTCATAGGAAGGCCAGGTACCCACCCCTCCCCCTACTGTAGCCCCGTCCCTAGTGAGCTACCCTCGACCCCCCATGGCCCTGGCCTCTCCCCGTCCCCACTCCTGTCCAGGCCAGACACTCCACCTGGCAGTGGTGATGCCAATCAGGCATGGTGTTCCTCCACTCGCTGATCTCCTTCTGCACAGTACAGAGCTCCTGCTGCAGGAAATGCCACATGTTGGCCAGGTTACAGCCATTGACCCAGTTATGATTGATGGAGATAGTGTCCTCCTGGAAGAGGCAGGTTACAGGCTGTTTTCACAATCCCACAGGGGACACTGTCCCCTCCCACATCCTGAGGTCCTCCCAGCCCTCCTCAGCTGGGAAGAACTCTCCCTCCTGTATCCTAGTGGATGCCAGAAGGAAAAAGGGAACCATCTGGGATTATCTGAGTCCATAGCTAATCCAGAGTAGGGTTCCGCAGGGGCCCTGGATAACCCCACTGTGTGAGGACTAGGAAAGTTATATGGGAGGGAGGAACAGGGTCTGGAAATCCTCAGCAGTGCTGTGTGGAGTCAACAAACCCATACATGGTACCATCTTCACTGTGGCCTGCCCTGTCACACACCCAGACTCTCCCAAAGGAACTGTGTATTTGGGAGGAGTGGCATAGCCCTCTCTCTTCAGGAAGCATCAAGAAAGGTGACAATGGCAGTCTGAAGGGCACAGTCAAAAGGGGGTCAGGGCCAGCCTGGTAAAACTCCATGGCGTGTCTCCCTACCTGCCTGGGCTACCTCTTGGGCACTTGGGGCAGGGTGTGTGCACCCTACCAGGTTGTGGACTTGGTGGTGCCATCCGCTGGGCACAAACACCATCTCGCCTGCTTCCTGCATGACCTCCAGTGGTGGGCTGCAGTGCTCATGCACAGGGTGCAGGTGGCTATCCAGGAATGACGGGGCGGTCACATCATATGGTAGGCCACCATGGCAATCCCGCAGGGCTTCTTCTTGCCCTGGTGGGAAGAAGAACCACTTTTTCCTCCCGCAGATGTTGACAGACCAGCTGAAGGAGCGGAAAATGTCGGCATGGAATGGTGACCTGCAAAAAGTCCCTATTGTTGCCTCATGGCCTGGGTGTAGGCTTTAGTTCTTCCAAAAAGACTGGCCACATTCAGAGGCCCGAGATCCCCAGCTCTCACACCTGTCTGTGAGCCACAGGGGTAAGCCAGAACTTCCCCACTTCAGAACATCCAGTAGGAGGGGCACAGCCATGAAGGAAAGAGGGAACTGGGCTTGGAAATGCCAGACTTGGCAAAGGGGAATCTCTCAGAAGCTCTGAGAGAGAGCCAACATGGTTCAGGAGAGTGACCAGGGACAAGGTGCAGGGCAGTGGGTGGGAACAGACACACAGTTACCAGCTGCCAGTGGGCCCCATGTAGATGAAACGGTAGTCGTCCACATCCAGGGTGTCCCAGTACTCGTTGAGCCAGTCAGATGAGAAGTACACAGGCAGGGTGAATAAACCCTCGGCAGAGGAGTCCCTTCAGAGAGCAAGCGGCATGAGGATGTTGCCATGTTCTCAAGCCCACTGTAGTCACTGATGTGAGGGACCCTAAGCTGCCTTCCAGAGCCAGAACCAACTGCCAGGCTGAGTGGGGCCACCTCAGATGACCCAGCCCTAGTCTGGCCACCATATAACCACAGCTCCCAGTGACCTGGCTGAGCTTACCCAAATAACTGAACCAGAATGGTTAAGTAGATGAGATGGCAATGGGATGCTGTGACAGGGCCTAGGAAACCCATAGAGGTAGCAACCCAGGTGCTCTGGACCCTCAAGCTAAGTTCTAAGATTTTAGACTGTGGCTGAGTTGGATTTTAAATATATCATTTGAATCACAGTTTTTCATGCAATACCTGGGATATACTTATACCAAACAAACAAACAAAAACCACAGTGCATAAGTGTTGGGGCCTATGAGTCCCTGAGGGCCAGGACCAGTGTCTGGTCACATCTTAACCACTGTCTGCACAGAAAGCTCCATGCCCAGTACAAAGAGTTGTAGCAGGAGCGCCGAGGACATGCTGTGGGTGCTATAGGTGGAGGCTGGTGCTGGTGTGTCTCATGTATTCTACATTGGTCTTAAAATCACACAAACCTGAGTTCTAGTCTCATTTTATCTTTCTGAGCCTTAGTTTCCACACCAGCAAAACAAGAATTCAATTTATGCACTCATTTATGCAACATTAACTGAATACCTAAGTGGGAAGTCTGATAAGTATTTCTGCTGGTGAAAAGCACACTTCTGGGTGGATAAAAGAGACACAAAACCAGAGGACCACCTCAGAAAGTGGTCACAGCAGTGAAAGTGAGGTGTTTTCAGAGCAGCATTGTTTGAGCTCCCCTGGTGGAAGTATATAGGAGGGAACAAATAAAGTCATCTTTAAAGAGTTGGTGTTGCTCAGCAGTGTTGGACATTCTAAGCAGGTGGAATAGTACTGTTGGAAAGAGCATTTGGACTTTGGCGGCCTAGCAGTGGGATGCAGAACTCGAGGCAGGTGGTCAGTCAGGACACTGGCAGCACAACAGGCTGAACCTGGAGAATGGGGGCTGGAAAGGGAGGCTGGTTCCAGGGGGCATCTGAGCAGAGGAATGAAGGCTGGGTGCTGCCAGTTAGATAGAGCCTTCAGTTCTGAGGAAATGTGATAAAGATGTAAGAACCGCCCTGGCTGGTTTGGCTCAGCGGTTAGAGCCTCAGCCTGCGGTCCAGAGAGAACCAGGTTCGGTTCCCGCTAAGGGCACGTACCTCAGTTGCAGTTTGTCCCTGGCCCTGGTTGGGTCGTGAGGGTGGCAACGACTCGATGTGTCCCTTTCACGTCGATGTTTCTCTCTCTCTCTCTCCCTCCCACTCTATCTGAACGAAATGTCAAAAAAAAAAAAAAAAAAAAAGATATAATAACCAGAGCCCACCAAAACCTCCACCAGTCCCATGTTCCCCACAGGAGCCAATTGTGTGCATACCATGAGATGGCTACACTGTGCTAAAAGAGCCAAATTCTTTATAGGAACTAAAATTCCTAACTGGGGAAAAAAGGAGATGCCCCATGTGCAGCCAGGGCTCACTCAGGTCTGGAAAAAGCAGTGCCACGGCCAGTGCACCACACCTTTACCTGCACAGGTGCCAGTCTTTGAGGTACAGACATCCCTGTGGAGAGGAGTAGTCTCCCTGGATGAATTCTTTCCAGTAGCTGATGTAATCTCTGAAGAGCATGTGTTCTTTAGGGTTCGAATTGTATTCCTGGACCCCGCAGTTTGCAACAGGTACAACTACATCTCCTGGAAAGGGAGAGTCGGACACAGACTGTTCTGAGTCCTCCATCTTGTCCATTTTCTCTGACCCTGTCCACCCTCCAACTCACTGCTACGTCTCCGCATGAATTCTTTTGGGAGCCCACTCATGCCGTCTCCCCCCCAAGCTCTCAGGGGTTGCCCTCTTCGCGCCCTCTCTAGTATTACCTAAGGGAATTCGGCAGCATGAGAATCAGAGGACCCTGCCCTAGTCCTGTGCTCGCGCTCGCCCTCAGTCCTTACCATAATTCTGAAGCAGATAATCGAAGTCAGGCTTCCCACCGGGTGTCACCCAGTGCCTCCTGCTACCCCAGCTCTCGGTGAAGGCGCTGGAGAAAACACAGGGCACATTGGGGAGCAAGTAACCCTTGAAGAAGTCCGTGTAGGAAAAGGAGTCCGGCCTCTCGATAAAGTCCACACGGCCCGGAGTCCCGCAGACACTGCTGGGGAGACGCCCCCGGAGGCCTCGGAAATAGCTCTCTGCGAACACGCGCGTCTCCCTATCCATGTCCGGCCAGGCTCCGCACCCAAGGGGTACGGGGGCTAGCCAGGGCTGGGGTGATGCTCGGGAGTGGACAAAGGGTTCTGCCGCGGGATGGAGAAGCTTTGGGGGAGGGAGAAAGGGGGAATCTACCCAGAGTGGAGGTTCTGCCGGGCGCGGGGAGACTTCCACGGATGGAGAGTGCTAGTGCCGCTGCCCGGCTTAGGACGGGATCCGGAAACCGGTCTTGAGGCTCCCGCTGCCTTGCATTTTAACCAGGGAGGTGAAAAGGAAGTACTTCTTGAAACTACTTCCGGAACTGACACCATGGGCACCCAAGCGCCAGCGGAACGAAATCGTGAGCAATACTTAAGCGCGGTTCGCCAGACTCTGCCCAGCGGAACCAGTATCCGGGGGTAGAGTTCCTGCCGGAACCGTACCACGGAGTGTCCGGCCCTGCGCCCGTGAGCACCACAAGCGGCGACCCTCACCGGGCTCAAGTGCAGGCTGGCGCCGGAGCGGCGCTCAAAACAACTCACCCAGTTCCTGGTCCACACAGCGATTGAGATTGTCGAACAACGCCTACGCCGAGTTTCGTCATCTTTGTGCCTCAAGACTCAGGAATGCGTCTTCCCTAGTCTGCATCTGGGCCTGTGCGGCTGTGAGGACCCCTCCTCTTTTTAGTGTTCCAAGGACTACCGTAGGTGGTGGGTTGTGGATTGTGGGCTGCGCTGAGAAGGGGGCAGAAGGGCCAAAGGTGGGGTACTGGGGATGGTAAGGACTAGGGTATAGTGGGGGACCTGGAGAGGAATGTGGGGGCCTGGGTAGATTGTGGGAATCAGGAGGAGATAATAGGGGCTTATGGTGATGGTGGAAACCTGGACGGAAATAATGGAGGGCCAAGGGAGATAATGGATCCTGGAGGGGATCATGGGAGCTTGGAGGATGTTGAGGACCTGGAGGGATTGTTGGGGAATAGAAAGACCTGAAATGAGGGTGTGGGGATCAAAGGTGGGGACTTGAGATTGCATACACCGCAGATCTAAAATGAAGGGACATGAGTGGAAACTTGGTGGGGGTGATAATGCCAACGTCTCCGCATATCAGAGAAATCAGCGTGGTACCCTCACAAACTTACCCACATCAGCATGGAAACAAAGAAACCAAACTCATTACTGTGTGAATTTGGTAGATTACATACATGTATGTGGTGTATCAGCAAGAGAGAACAGTTGGACAGAACTTCACACGTCTCCCACACATCTTATCTCCTAGAGGGAAAGATAGATTTGGCTGTGTAGTCTGCACCTAGGGAGAGACTCGTGATCCAGTCCTGTAGCTTTGGTTTACACTTCAGTCAGTATGAAGCTTCCCCAAGAGAACAGGGAGCACCAGAAGTGGGGAAAGGCAGAAGAGGGGAGGACTAGGAGGAAAGAGAGTTTTGGGGAATCTGAAGTCTTGGTGGAGGGGGAATCTAAAGTAGGAGCAAAGAGCACCACTGAGATGGGGGGGGGGGGGGCGGCTAGAAATTGTGTGTGGCAAGTGGAGCAGTGGGAGGTGTTTTGTGATTTGTGTCCCATCTGCTTCCTTTGCCAGTGTGGCATTTTTTCATTGGGCTAGTGTAGAGCAGACAGTGAGAACACAAGGGGAAGGCAAAATGGAAAAAAAGTGTCACCCATAATCCCATCCAGAGATGAACATGTTTTCCTTTTTGATGTAGAGCTATCCTTCCAGGCATGTATTCATTCATTTATTCATTTCCTTCATATTCTCTCCCTACCTCCTTCCGTGTACATTTACACAGCTGTGGAATATGGGGGCAGCAGGGAAAAGTGTGGGAAGCAGAAGTATTCATAAGTATATAAAGCTTTGGGAAATATAGGTCAAAGTTTGCCCCATGGGAGAAATATGAAATTCAGGTGGGTATTGCCTGGGGGGAATCCAGCTCCTGAAAGTGTATGATTAAGAGTAAATTTCCTAAGAAAAAGGAGGCTTTGGGCCAGCAGGTCCACATGCTCCCTGAGGTTGTCACTCAAGGTAGAAGATAGGGCCTTTCTTGAGCACTGGCTGTTCCTGGCATTTGTATTGTATTTCCCCTAGTCCACACGGTGACCATCTGGCGCTGGCAGTGTCACCACTACTGTACTTACACACAAGGTGACAGAACTAGTGAAAGCAGGTATGTGTGGCTTCAAGGCCACTAGACCGCCACCTTGGCATCACTAGGAACTGGTGAGAAATGTATATGCTTGGGCCTCACTCAGACCTACTGCTGTCACATTCTGGGGACCAGCACTTCCCAGTGACACACCCTTCAGAGGGCCATAGAGAAAACAGCAGGAGGAAGTTTAAAAGTAAGCACTTTGAGCTCTGGCTGGTTTGGTTCAGCGGTTAGAGCGTCACTCACAGACCAAAGGGTCATGGGTTTGATTAGGGTCAGGGGCACGTACCTCGGTTGTGGTTTGGTCCCTGGCCCTGGTCATAAGGGAGGCAACCAACCCAGTCAGTATTTCTCTCTCTCTCTCTCCTACTCTATCTGAAGATTATTTTTAAAAAAAGTAAATACTTTGGTACTGACCAGTTCGCTCAGTGGTTAGAGCATTGACCCTTAGACCAAAGGGTCATGGGTTCAATTTCCAGTCAAGGGCACGTACATAGGCAGCCCCGGTCTGGAACATGCAGGAGGCAACCAATCAGTGTGTCTCTCTGACATCTATGTTTCTGTCTCCCTCCCTCCTTTCCACTCTATGTGGAAATCAATAGAAAAATATCCTTCGGGGAGGATTAAAAAAAAAAAAAGTAAGCACTTTGTAGGAAATGCAGTGGGAATTATATAAAATCTTATTTGTCTGCTCTGAGGAGCTAGAAAGATGGGGCACGCCCTGCGAAGACACCATGTTGTCGGAAAAGGCTGGCCATGGCAACTAGAGACACTACTCCCACTGTTCTGACTCTAAGCCTTCTTGTGGTTGAGTTATTGGAAGGTGTGTAGAATGTTACTGGTTCTGTTACTCTGGAAATTCACTAAAAATAGGTGTTTACTTGATACTGAGTCTCACTGCAGGCACAGGTCTAATGCAAGGGCTGAAAGAAATATACTAATTACTGTGCATCGTAAGTGTGGTCCAGTGACCCAGAGCATCACTTTGGCAGTGAGCTCCACACAATCTTGGGGAGCCTTGCCATGACCTTCCCTCCCCTTTTCAGCTCTATTTTCAGGGTCCACACAGATCTGTAATTCTTTCCCTAGAAGATGTAGGTTCTAGGTTACAGCGAGGACCAAGTGAGGACTCCAGAACTTAGTATAGATCCGACCTGGGTAAGCACATGGAAGGAGGAAAGCAATCTACAGTGGACAGTTGATGTTTCCACATGGCATGACTTGCTGTTTACTCAGCAGGTATTTTCTGGGTGCCTAAAGGTGCTGGCATTGTGCACAAGGAACTCTCCACATGATATTTGCTTCTCCAGTATGTAGACCCAGTTGTCCTCATGTGAGCACATTCATAGGCTCCTAGGAATTGTAGTAAGTGCAGTGGTTGATGAGGGCTCCATTTCAGGGGGACATGATGTCATTGGGCAGAGGCCATTCAGAATCCTGGAGCAGCAGATGGGGGTTCTGAGGCTAGAACAGAGTGGAACACAGGTAGGAGGGTCTGAACAATAAGGCTGCAGCTCAGCAGAGCCTGTTGGGCTGGGGAGGGGAGAGTGGACTTTACTCAAAGTACGTGGGGAAAGGTTTTGGCAGAAGAGTGGCATTTTCTTTCTTTTTTTTTTTTTTAAACTTTCTTTATTTGACTTATTCCACTTAACATAATGCCCTCATGGTCCATCTATTTTGTCACAAAGAGCAGGGTTTCCTTCTTTATGGCTCAACTACTATTATGAATACGTATCTAGAAGTAAGTTAGCAGGAATTATGTCATGTTTTCTAATCTTGTGTTATGACTGTCACATTGGCTACTGGATGGAGAATGTGTGGTGGCGGCAGAGTGAAACAAGGAGGGAAGTTGAGAGATTGTCCAAAGGAATAGTGACAGCCTTGCCTGGTGCTGTGGCAGATGAGGTCACAGCTGCCAGGACTTACTGACAGATTGTTGGAAGGGATGAGGATGTGGGGAAGGGGTATACAGGAGAACTCCTCACCTGAAGTTCCATCATTGAGGTGGAGAAGAGATGGAGATGCCTATTAGATAGTCAAGTGGGGATGCTCAGGTTACTCTAATGTCCATGGTGGGAAAGGCTGGGTTGGAGGTAAAGTTTGGGAGGCAGCAGTTCAAAGGTAGCATACAATGACATGGAACTGAGTTGGATCACTGAGGAGCAGAGTGTTGTGTTGATTAAGACAGTCAGGGCTGTCACCTGGGCATTCCAGCATTCAGGGAGGAGAGGATGAGCCAAGCACTTGGAAAAGTGGAGGTGGGAGCCTAGGGAACTAGGCTGTGATGTCTCACTGGAGGAGTAACCTTGCAGGACAGAGGTTACATCAGAGGTGGGCATTGGGTTTGGCCACCTCGAGGCCTGTATAGAGCTGTACCATGAGTGGTGGGGACAGGAGCCTATGTGGAGGGCAGGATGAACACAGGAAAGCAGTGAGTGTCTGTTGGAGGAGGAGCAGCTAGTCAGGACTGTAGGGAGGTGGGACAGGTGTGTATTTGTCTGTTTGCAGGTATAGCTCCTAGAGAAGATGTGTAAACTGAGGAGAAGGTCGAGGACGGGTTGACAGCTGTGCCCTTGGCCACATCTGCTGCTCCTTTTTTATAAGTGAGTTGTATTGGAGCTGCCACACTCTTGTCCTGTGGTATGGTCTTTGCTGCTTCTCCTCTACAGTGGCAGTGATGAGCATGGAGCCAGAGACAAAATGCCAAAGAACCTAAACTATTCACTCTCTGGCCCTTAGCTAGACAGCGAGTCCCTGGGGCCAGAGAGAAGGAGAAGTTGGTGCTGCTGAAGAGGGAGAGTGTTGGGGCCAAGGGAACAAGAGCCTGGCCTTTGAGGGAGCAGGGCACTTCTTCCTGCTGGCTGTACACAAGGACTGGGGTAAAATAGGGCACCCAGGAGAGGTGGGGCATATAGGTGGAGTTCCACTTGATCTTTACTATGGACGTTTGGGAAAG